TTTATTCAATGAAATATGTTTGAATGAAGGTATGCTCTGGGCAATCAGTTCATGTTGCCTTTTCTGGTTTCCATTTTACCAGAAAGAAGAAGGAGGCATGGTGGGGTAATGGATAGCGGCTTGGATTGAAGAATCAGAGAGCTGAGTTTGAATTCCATTTGAATCCATTCACTTACTTGGGAAAGGTATGAATCCTCTTCTTCTCCCCCCAGCTATGGGTAAATAGCAGGACAGACTGGGTTCTATAGCCTTGGATGGTAACTGGTCTAGGAGAAGGACAACTCTGAATTCAAAACCTGCAGAGGGTTGTTTGGGGACCTTGTGGCACATAATGCATCAGGTGTCTCTATTCAGCCCTTCAAAAAGTGTGGTTGGTTCTGCACAAAGCCTTCACCACTATAATCAAATCATGTGTTGGTGTCTGGGCTGTCGGTTCCTAGGAACTGAGCTGCTTGACCCTCATATGTTGAATTTGATGGGAGAGTTGAGAGCATACATATCAAATCCGTAATTACAAAGGATAATCCAAGTTGTTTTTTTAATATAAAATATTAAAAAGATAAATCCATAGAAAGAGCTAAATGTATCAAAATGCAGAGCAATACGATAGATTTTTTGTAATTTCCGTCTGATGAGATGGGTATTAAAAACTTACCTGTTGAAACAAATTATAATTTATAATTGTTTTGCATTAAGTTTTTCCTTGATGTACATATATATATATATATATATATATATATATATATATATATATATATATATATAAAAAAAAACTTTTTGTAGGGTGTTCTGAGTATTCCATACATACTTGATAGGATAACTTTTTTCTTCAGTGCATCTTAATAAAAAAAATTATTTTTATTATAGTGGTAAAAAGTTTGTATGAACACATAAGATATTTTACAAAACAACACAATCGATGATTAGAAATTCATCATAATGAATATGACCATAATTTTGATTTAAGAAGAGCTATTTTACTTAAGAAAGTAGGTAATTTACTAATGCAAAAACATATATAGAAAGTGCACTGATTTCTGAATCTTCTATGCTAAATTTGCATCCAGGTTCTTACATTTTACCTTTCTTAACACACACACACACACACACACACACACACACACACACACACATGTATATACATTTTAGGTACCAGCAAAATGGAAGTAGTTTTTTCCAAATGAAAAAAAAAAAATCTCCCCCCATTTTTAAAAATTTGCCAAAAAACAGGAAATTATCCAATTTAAACATTTTCAGTCCTTATTCATTAATCAATGAATTGTATACTGAATATCTTATTTTCTTAGAAAATTTTGTGTAAATTTTTTTTTTTGACAATCAGTTTCAACTTTCACTTTTTCAATATCATATGTTTACTTTTTAATTTTTTGTGCGTGTGGGGATCACAAAATTTTTTTGCAGTTATATAAAGAAAAAGTCCCTGAATATATAATTTGAGTAAAATGAATTATGCAGTATTGAAAACCACAACAACAATAATTTAATAAAATATGTTTTTTTCTTTCAAACTCAGCATGATAAAAATCTACACCGAATATATATTTAATATATATTTTTACAAAATTTACTTGTAATTTTTCAGTGTGATTTTCATATTTATATCATTTCTGTTTGTAACAAGTTTTTTTTGTTTTTGTTTTTTATTGAAGACACATTTGAAGAATCTAAAAATGTAAAGTTTAATACCATCTGCGAATGTGACACATTTTATTTTTTAATTTTTATTTTTTAATTTTTACAACAGTTAGATTACTTTTTGTATGGAAGGTCAAAAAGAAAATAATTCTTTTACTGCACTCAATAAATTCTTTATCAATTTCACCCCTTTTTTTGTAGCACTTACTTTAGTATAATTAATTTTAGAATCATAATAATTGAAAAAGTTCTCATTGGGTGAAATTAAATATTTTATGACATTAGACAAGTAAGAAAATAATAAAAAAAATAAAAGCATTGAATTAAAAACTCAAAGTAAAATTTAACTATTTTTAATGTAGTATAAAAAATAAATTTAATTTTACTAAGTTTTATAAAAGCATGTAAAATGAAAAAAATAACTTTCTTAAATTATTGGTTATAAAATATTAAAGATAATTTATTTTTAAATATAAACAATACCAATTTCTAGATTGTAATCCTTTTGATCTTTCATACTTTTTAAAATTTTGCACAGGCTTTTGAGTGACAAAGAAGACTATGCAAGCTTGGGAGTGACAGTAGAAGAATACTGTTGTTAACCTCTGACGTTGATAACAGCTCATGGGCTACTGTGTGTAAATAAGCATTATTTTCACTATGTTTTAAGCAGAAAGTAAGCATTGCTTTACAACATTCAATTAGTCAATCCCTAAACTTACTAATTTACTTTTAAATATCTTTTTTTCAAATAAGACATATGGTTCAACCAATTCTTTTATCCAGTGGGCCAGATGTCCTTGAGAACATCAAAGTATGAATTTTTTTCGATAATAGTGTTGGTTGGATCCAGTGACTTGACCCAAAGAGTTGTGAGTTCAATACCCGGCTACTGCAGTGGTGAACAAAAATTTGGAAAGTTGAATTAAAGGGAAATAACTGAGACATCTGGAAGAGGCATGGCATGTGAAACTAGAACAATCTACCCTGATGGACGAAATAAAGGGTTCAGAAATTCCATCGCTTGAAGAAAGCCAGAGTGTACAATGGCCAAAACGTCATGAATATGGCAACAAAGATGAGGACAACAGTCTGAACAATGTAAATAATTACAATACCTCATCTAAAAGGAGACACGGTGGAGTAATGGATAGTGTCTTGGATTGAGGAATCGGAGAGCAAAGTTCAAATTCCATATTCGAATCCATTACATTCACTTATGTGCTAATACTCTTGGGAAAGGTATGAATCATCTTCTCCCCCCACTCCCCAGCTATGGCTAAATAGCATGACAGACCAGGTTCTATAGCTTTGGATGGCAACTGGTATACCGCAGAAAGAAATGGCAACCTACTGCGGGAAAAAATCTGCCTAGTCAGACGTGTATCGAAAGATACATGGTTGCCTAAGTGTGTATCACGCATAGCATATAACTGACCTCATCTCAGAAATATAGACAGATAAGACATATTTGAAAAAAAAAAAAAAGTCTTTTTGGTTTTGCGTTTTTTTTGTTTTTTTTAAAAAAAAAAAAATAATCTGTGAAGGAAGTACTTACTCTCATAAAAAAAATCACAATGAGCAATCATTATGAAATTTCGGATAACTGATATTAAAAAAATATATATGCTAAAAATGAAATAATAATTCACAATACGTTTTAAAAATAAGGCTCATTAAGGTTGTAAAATTTACAACCTTAGGAGGAGCCTTTTACAAAAGCTGCAATAACTGAATGGGTTGCTTTTTACAACTGGTCTCTCTCTCTCTACACTTCAAGCCTACGTGATTGTCCTCAAGTACACTGCAGAGGTTAATTGGATTCGTTCTACTTATCTTTCATGCATTGAAAAAAGTAGACTTATGACAGAAATTGAAAGAGGATATTTTTAAAAAGCGTAAAAAATTCAATATGTTTTCATTTCGTTAATTTGGGGAGGCCGGGTAAATACATCTGTTTTTTTTTTTTTTTAAAAAAAAAAGATTAATTTATTACGTCACCAGACTTAAAAAATGTATTGTTATTACGAATCCTTCCACACATTTAATGTTCGTTTTTTACTATTATTTTTACATAAATTCTATAAATATATACAGAACAGATCCAAAGTAAAATGTTTGGTTATTCTTTTAACAAGATAAGCTACGTCTTTTTATTGCGTTGCTGTCTCCAGTTAGTAAACAAAGATTGTCATGTGTGGGAGTTTTAAAAAGTGGGTAGGAGGTTGGGTCAAATAATAGCAGTCATCTCTTCTCTTCATTTGGTGCCTAAGAATATAATTGAGTACTAAATTTGTCTTCAGAATTCAATATACAAGAAAGAAAGACTGTATTATTATTTATTGTTAGCTAACCCATTTTTTTCCTTGAAGCTAATAATAACTAAAGAAAATGCAGCAGTTGAGTAACATTCAATCCTTGCAACTCAGCCTCTCTTCTTTTTCTTCTTACGCCCAAGAAAAATAGTTTCGTTTTTAATGCAACTCGCAGAGCGTTTTTCGATCCGCGTCAACCAACATGTTTGTCCCAACTTTTTAACGCAAACAGATAAAAAATCAAAACAGTGATTGATTAATTGTTTGTGTAGTTCTTCTGCTGACCCACCTTACAAAGTTAGTGCTACCCAAATATCAAAACGCGTTTGGAACTAACGTTAGCATTGACCTCTGCAGGTTAGTGTGATATTGCCTGACGACCTTGAACTCTGCAAGGTGAAGGACATCCTTTTTCAATTAGCAGCAACCCAAACCATGACCGGCCGTAGCTGCTGCACGGACTTCGCCTTTTATAAAACAACAACAATAATAGATTTGCACGGATAATGGTTTATTGCTTTTGTGGTTGGCAGTTTTATGTAAAAGTTGTATATTGAAGAAAAACTGGCTATGGACATTCGTTTTAAAAATCAGCTCCGTGCAATTTTGCTGGTTTATTTATTTGGAATTGTCGCTCTCAGCCTGCTTGTTGATAAATTGCCCTGTTCGTTGGAAACCGACTGAAAATCTAAACTGCACACTATTATTTGTTTGTTTACTAACTTGTTATGTTTCTTAAGGACTGAGGAAAAAAAAAACAAATCTCTTTAAAGATGAGCATTTAAAAAAAAAAAAAAAAAATTGGAAAACCAAAAAAAAAAAAAAAAAAAGTAAAGAACAAAAAAAAAACAAGTACTTTCTTTTTCATAAAGTTACAAATTAAAATATAACATTTTCTCGAAAACTCCTTTCAAAAGTCAAATTTTTTTATAAACATTTTTTATATACATATTTACTTTTTTTTTTCCCCCTTACCTTCCTGAATGCATAGTTTTAGAATTCTTGTGATGGTTGAATCAAGCAACCGTCATGTGTGCCTCCCCGTCCTTTATTTATTTGCCGAGGAATCTGTCATATTGCAATAATAATGAAGAAACGCATTTAGGCACCGCCAACAGCCATAATAAAACCGAACTTAATATTACAGCTGTCAAATTACGCCAGAGGGTCCTTTACCCTCATTTCAAAAAAATCATGTCAGAAATAACGGGGGATGAAGACGAAACATTAATGATTGAGGATGTGGAGAAAGAAGAAGACATGTGTAAGAAGTGTAGTAACCAGGTGACCTCTTTCGACGAAGGGATCTTCATTAATTTAATGGATGACCTTAATTTAGACTCGGAAACAGCTACGGCGACCACAATGGCAATTACCGAGGACAGTGCAGCTAGTAGCAGTACAGAGACTAGTGAACTTCAGTCACCACTACCCGGAATTATTGTTGGCGGTTCGTCGCCGACGGTAAATGACACTTGTGACACACGGGCGACCCACTCATCATCATCATCGCTGCCCGGAGGACATAGTCTCGACGAGATCGTCTGCGGGGAAACCCCTATGGCAGGTATTTGTGCCGAGTCTCCATGCCTTGGTAGCCAAAGTAGCTCCCCAGGCCGAAATATTGTCAGCAGTGTCCAGAGCTTCTTTTCGGGAAATCCGAAAAATGACACCAAACTTCTCGATCTCCTTTCTCCGGCCAGTCCAATTTACGACGACGATGAATTTAACTTCCCCAGAGGTGAGCTTCGAAAATCAACCTCCTTGAAAAGCAACAAAACCCCGCCAGGTACGCCCCGTCGTAAAAAAGTGGTGCGGTTTGCCGACGTGATGGGCTTGGATTTAGAATCTGTCATTCATGTTTTAAATATGGATTCACCTCCGAAAATTCCGGCTTCGGCGCTAGCGGACTTACAATCGGGAATTGAAAACGATCGCAAGTCTGTGGGGGCTCGCCTACTAACAGCTTGCTTTAGTCAACCCTCAGCAAGCGACGGGTTTATGGCCAGAGTCTGTACGGAAAAGGTATGTTTAGAAAATGCTGTAATCTCCGACTTGACCATTACGGGTATCATCCGAGTGGCTAATATTGGTTTCCACAAAAGTGTACAGGTCCGATACACGACAAACAACTGGTCAACTTACCACGATGTTGCTGCATCGTATGTGCACAGCTCGTGTGACGGACCGACGGACAGATTTTCTTTCAGTATTGTGACCCCACCTGACTTTTCTGTAGGGTCACGCCTGGAATTTGCCATCTCTTATACATGTGGTGACGTTGTCTACTGGGACAATAATCATAATGTCAATTACTTGTTTGAATGCTACGCCAAAACCGGACTTACTGAAGCTGAAGAAGCCTGGATGCATTTTCTTTAAAGAGGGAGAAAAAGAAATGATAACTAAAAATAGAAAGGGTACAAAAAACTGAATGAAAGAACGAGGGAGGGAATCAAAGTGGAAAAAAAAAACTCTTCATAATGTGGACTGGAGTAATTCCCTTTTCTCTTTAAGCAGTTTAACTTATGAAAATATCTAACATTTTTTCCCCCTAATTTAAAAGATTTTCTGTTTCCCTTCCCTTAGCTTGCATTATTTTTTTTTCATGTGTAGAAAATCGTATTTATTATTTCTAAATATCAAACATTTTTTTTTTACTTTGATTATTTTTAGAAGTTTTCAAAATACTTTGTTGTTGCGAACAAGTCTGTCGTTTATTTTCCCCTCTCTTTAGTTAAACTAGAAAGAAAATTTAACAAATTCAGCTTCTATAGTTAAAAAATAGTAATTAATTTAAACTAAAAGCTTAGTTTGTCAGTGAATCAGTCAGTTTCCAATTCACTGACAAATAATTAAAAAAAAAAGGCAAAGAAAATTGTCAGCTGTTTTCCACCACGTATATAAAAAAAATCTTTTAAAATTTAAATAGTTTTTATTTAAAAAAAAAATTAACTGATTACAAAATGAAATATGCTTTGTTTGTTCATGTAGATTTCTTTTTGGATCATACAACTAACAATGGCATATATCCCTCCAAGAGGGTTGCGAAAAGAGATCTTGTATTAGGCATAAAAAGTTTGCCTGAATATAAATTTCGTTCTCCAATCTTTAAAAAAAAGTGTGTTTCTTTAGCAAATGATAATTATTCTTTACTTATTATCATAGGCCAACTCTGTAAAGCAGAAGTTAATTTTCTTTTGTTTCCTAATTTGTGACTGGGAGCTGTCTTTCTAGTTTCAACTGAAAGAGCAATAAAAAAAAAAAAAAAAAGCAAATTCATTGTGTAGTCGTGAATTACAAGAAAAATGACCCAACTTAAACCAAAAAATAGTATCTTAAAATCCCCATATTGGAATGTTATTCAGTTAAATTCTGTAATCATTCTCTTTACGGTTATTATGTGTTTTTATTTCTCTCTTTGTCTTCAGAAGTTCTTGTGATAACTGCTGCTGCCATCATTGAGAGTAATATTTTGGTCTGGCAAAAAGATTTAAACAGATTCCAAATTATTGCGTCAAGAAGATTAAATACAGTACTAATACTTACTTGAAAATTTCAGAATTGTAAATAGTATCTAAAATTGCATTAAAAAAATTCATTGCCTTAATTTAAAAGTTCATTTGGGTGTAAAATGGAAAATAAAACATTGGATTTTAGACCTGTACTCTATTTAAAATCTGTCATCTGTGGAAAAAAAAAATGAGAATAAGTTCTTTCGTGTTTCTTTTTTTTTTTTTTTTTTTTTGTATTATTTCCCAAGGTTTATGTTTTGAATTTAGTTTTAAATACACGACACTTTTAAAAATAGAATTTAAATGTTAAAACGAAAATCTCTTTCCCCTTTTTCCTTGCCTTCCTCATTTCTAAAATTCAACACTAAGCAAAAAAAAGAATTAAAAAAAAAAAATATTTCGTAGTTTCGATTTCATAGACCAGCAATTTGTTGTATTTTATCATTTTAAATGCTTTTTTAAATGCATAATTGATAACCATAACTTAATTCTTCCTTATAGACATTTTAAATTTTGTTTTCGCATAATTAACGATGAAAATTTAATTAAAAAATGTAACTTTTTTTTTAGTTTTCAACTAACTTTTTTAAGTTACTTAAAGATTCTATTTTTTTTTTTTACTGATATTTTATTTTTTCTTGATTTTTTAGTTTATTTTTTTTAGTGTTTAACACGAAATAAATTTAATACTTTTTTTTTTGTAAATTTTTAATTGCTCCCCCTCCCCTTTTCTTAACATCGGAATTTATTTTTTAAACTTCATTTTCTTCAACAAGTTTGTTGTTTAGTCAAGATGGGCTTGGTTTAAAACTTTAAAAATATCTAAAAAACAAAATATATCAATCAGAATCAATATAGTAAAAAGGAAGCCAGAGTTGATTAACTAATTATGCAAATTAACAGGAGGGGTTAGAAATAAACACTTGCACACACCAAAAAACTTTCGACAAAAATTGAGAGGGAACTCGTAAAAAAATGCTTAATCTTTAAATATAAACTCTTAAACCTAATAAAAATTTATTAGTCTTTGAAGGCAATAAGATTTGACCGCTGTCATGAAGTTCTCTTAGATTTTTTTTTTAACTAACAACTGATAAACAGAAACTGATTTTAAATTTTGCAGATCTGGGGCGTATGCGTTATTAAACTAACTTTTTTTTTGTATTATTTTGGCCCTCACCCCCCGATCATTCTTATTTAAATCTGTGTGTGTAACTGATTCAGTTTAATTTCGAAAAAAAAAAAAAAAAAAGAACTTCACTGGCAACAGCGGTTGGAACTTAGTGGAAATAGTTTTTCTTTGCCTATTTCCAGCATTGGAACGAAAGAAAATGAAGAAATTGCTTGTTAATAGCTACTAATTAAGCGACAGGTACTCAGTACACCTCGCCTTGTCTTGGAGAGAGAAAAAAAAAGTTGTGACAAATGTTTTGTTAATTTTCGGGTTAGTTTTTCAAGTCAACAGGCATACTTTTTTGTTGAGTTTCTAACCTGTTGATTTGAACCAACAGATTTTTTTTTTAAACTATGCTTACAAAAATATGTCCGTTTTTACGTCCCTCTCTGAACACACATACATGCGTCTGTTTAGTAACCTTTTAAATATTCTTAATTATTTTAGTATATATTATTACATTATAAGAAAGAGCAATTTCATTACCTGCAGGCTTGTTGAACCTGTCCTTATATAACAATTATCGAGCGTTATCTCCCCACACACATGATTATTTTATTTTATTTTTTTTAAGTCTACACTTCCGTAAAAGTATTTGTTTAAAATCTAGAATTTAGATTTTACTTTATTATTTTTAAAGTTTATTTATTGCATACCTTGTTGTAACTGGATTTTATGGATGTTTTTAATCTAAAAATAAAAAGTAGCCCAATTAGTAGAAATATATATTTTATATTTAGTACAATTCAAAAGAATATATGCTATTATGTTTTATATTGTATTTTTGTAAATTGAAATTAAGTCAAAGTTTTGACATTATTTTAAAATCAATGAAGCTTCTTGAGTCTTACAGCTGCTTCAACATGAACATATCATTTATACCTGATATGTATATATTTGATAAATTGTTATGAGGTTAATTTTTAAATTATAACTTATTTCCAAGAAATGCAAATGTTCTCAATTGTATTTCTTTCAAATATTGAAAATTTTAGTCTGCTGTCTAAAGCATGCATAAATTGTTCAGATTAAATCTTGATTCATTCTATTTTTTTTTAAATCTAAGCAAACTCAAAAATATAGCAACTACCAGTTTTTTTTTTGTTTTTTTTTTTTTATTTTAATTCAAATCTTTAATTCTAGCTTTCCTGAGACTATAGAAAATACAAAATAAAAGTTGCTAAATATATAAGCCTACATTTTTTTCTTTTTTTAAAAAACGAAAAAACAAAACTAACGATAAAAAAACTGTTATTCTGATATTGTAAATGTTTTAAAAATTGCTTAACAAAAACATTTTAGGATTGCTTAAAGGACACGAAACCAGGAATAGAATTCATTTCAGGATTTATTTAATGGAAATCAAAAAGATATCAAATTGAAAGAACTCTGATAAAAACTAACTAAATCCTTTCTTTTTTTTATTATTCTTTATTGGATCAATTTAAATACTGGTCAAGTAATTTTTCTACATTTCAAAGACTCTTCTTCACCCAATTAATTCTATTATTGGAGAATTTCATCAATGGACTACGATTGGAGAGTTTCATCAATGGACTCTACTATTGACAACTGCCTGAAGCAACTTGTATGGTCATCTTTGAACTTATTTTGTAAGTTATTTTTATTTATCTCACTTTATTATTATTATTTATTTTTTAATTATTGGAAAGAAAGTCTCTTTTGTATTTTGAATGTTGAAGATGAATTTGATGCATTTGTCTCCACAGGTAATTTTGAGACAAATTATAATTTCAGAGGCTGTTCATAAGCTTATTCTTTGTCTAGATATTATTTTATGTCAGAGATTGGATCATCGAAGACATTGTGTTATAGTAAAATCGACACTATGTTCAATAGTCCTGACAATACTCGGGATCGGAATGGTTTTCAAAGAATCTTTCTCTTTCTTTAAAGTGTTTTCATTTTGTGCATTGAATCTGGGATTTTTGTTTTGTGTACTCCAGTCAGTTTATTTTAAAATGGTTAGATAATTATCTGTAAATACAATCTTGTCTGAAGTTAATCATGAATGGAAAATTCAAGCTAGTAAAATCACTCACTAAAATCATTTTCTGATATAATCACAAGAATGTAATATATTGTATTGTCATATTTGTAAAGAAAATCTTTAGAAACTTTATTTGGTAAAATGAACAAATTAAACAGATTCAAATTATAGTAAACACATTATTAAAACATACTCTATTAATTAATCAATTTCAACAAAATACAAACCTTTTATTGAAAATTATTCAAAAGATGTCCCTAGTATTTATGGATACAAACTTAAAATTTATTATAATTTACAAAGAAAGACAAAATTTACACAGCATTTAAAACATATAAAATTATTAATTTCTAAAGTTTCAGCTATTTAGCATATATGGTTAAGTTACTAGAAATTTTGCACTTTTCAAGTAACACACATTCAAATAAAGATGAGAATTTTTCTGTTAAATATTCACATGCATTTTGTTTCTACTGCTACATCCATGTGCCAAGTATAAATAAAAAGACAACATATCTGTTGTGGAATAAATAAGACCCCTCCAGTAACACAAATGAACTATGCAAGATGCCTTAAATAAAGAACTCAAAGTGAGTCAGTAGAAGTCCATTGGGGTCAGTTGGAAAGAAATCTAATGATGTCATGGTAAGTAGCCTAGGCAAGACATATTATAACCGCTAAG